CTATAAAAATTCTCTCTTTTACAGACCCGGGTTCGAATCTTCCCTCAAGCAGAGATTTTGTTTTTTAACCTTTTTTTTATGGGAAATTAGGCCAAATAACCACAAAAAAAAATTATATCTTAAAATCTAACTAAAACTATCCTATGTAGCTAATTATATCTCTTATATCTAAGATTTTTTGCTATTTTTTTAAATATTGTTTTTTTTTTTATTTACCAAAACCAGAAGAATAGTCCAATCAATAAAACACCACCGGCACATAACCTAACCCCCCAACAAATCCACCGGAACATATCTATTATCTCACACGTGCGAGGTATCACGTGCACACGTGTGAGGTAGAGAGAGAGAGAGAGGTCTATTAAACATTTTATGGTTTAACGACCAACCGGAGAAATTCTGGCAATTGGCAATAATCCAGAGGGAGCTCTTGTTTTCCCAATCTGCATAAGAAATATCGAAAATCCACGCGCTTCCCTCACACACTCACATACACTTGTTCTCTTTCTCATTTCGAAAACCACGACGATCTCTTCGATGCTTTCCCTCTGATTCTCCTCCATCTTCTTCGTCTCCGATCTCTGATTTGTGTTTGTTTTGAGGTGAGTTTCATTATTTGAGCTGTTTTTTTTTTGTTCATGAGTTTGACACTTTTGGTATTGAGATTTGTTTACGAGAGATAAAATGGGAGTAGTGGAAACAAATCTAACCTCTCTTTGTGTGTTTCAATTTGATCTCTCGTTGATTCAATGATCACGAAAAGTAGAAATTTGATTGCTTTTTACTTGATTTGTTCAATTAGTGGATTGAGATCTCTCTGCTTGGATCAGAAATGGCTTCGATAGCTCATTCATCACTAGCATTGGGTGGAGCTTCTGCTTCTGCTTCGGATTACTTGCGTAGTTCGAGCAATGGTGTTAATGGGATTCCATTGAAATCCTTAGGAAGAGCAATGTTTACAACCACTAGAAGGAGGAGGGATCTTTCTGTGTCAGCTAGGCTCAAGAAAGGTAAGAAATTTGATCATCCATGGCCTGCGAATCCTGACCCCAATGTCAAAGGAGGAGTCTTGTCTTACCTGTCCACTTTCAAACCTTTGGGGGATGCACAAAAGCCTGTCACTTTGGATTTTGAGAGACCACTTGTTGAGTTGGAGAAGAAGATTGTCGATGTACGAATGAATGAAATACATATCATTCTGCTGCATTCTTTGTTTGGTTTCTCGTGGTGTGTAGTTTCTTAACGTTTTTCGTTGTGTTGCAGGTGAGGAAGATGGCGAATGAAACGGGGTTGGACTTCACTGAGCAGATTATCACTTTGGAGACCAAGTATAGACAGGTAAAAATGCAAGTTTTAGGTCGGTTTTCGACTTAATTGGTCAAAGGAAATGACATCTTACTGACCTTGCAATTGTAAATCTCAGGCACTGAAAGATCTTTACACACACCTCACTCCGATACAACGTGTGAACATTGCACGTCATCCCAACCGACCTACCTTCCTTGATCATATATATAACATCACTGACAAGGTCTGGTCTCTCGGTAGTATGGCCTTTTCTTTCATACATTGGGAATAAATTCTTGTTTTTTTTCACTCTTGAGATTCTCTGTTTGTGTTTTCAGTTTATGGAGCTTCATGGAGACCGTGCGGGGTATGATGACCCTGCAATTGTGACCGGTATTGGAACTATAGATGGAAAACGATATATGTTCATTGGTCACCAGAAAGGTAGAAACACCAAAGAAAATATAATGCGTAACTTTGGGATGCCTACACCTCATGGGTATGTTTTCATTAGGGGCTTCCTGGTTTGTAGTTAAATAGAATTATTCAGAGTCAACAACACTCTCATCGAATCTCTGTAATGCCAACAACAGTTACAGGAAGGCACTACGGATGATGTATTATGCAGACCATCACGGTTTTCCCATCGTGACATTCATCGACACTCCTGGAGCCTATGCAGACCTTAAATCCGAGGAACTTGGACAGGTACGGGAAGTGTCTTTTATGTTTAAGGTGTACTGGTTTATCTGTAGCACAACATTTTTTTTCTTATCTGTATAATAATAGGGTGAAGCTATTGCCAACAATCTGAGGACAATGTTCGGCCTGAAAGTGCCGATTCTTTCTATTGTCATTGGGGAAGGTGGTTCTGGTGGTGCCTTAGCCATTGGCTGTGCTAATAAAATGTTGATGCTCGAAAACGCAGTATTCTATGTTGCCAGGTAAAAGTTTCCCCCGATTGTAGATACGATAATATGGTATATCTTCAGATTGATTTATTACGTCTGTTGTTTTGCCTTTCACAGTCCAGAGGCCTGTGCAGCAATCTTGTGGAAGACTTCCAAGGCTGCTCCTGAGGTTTGTACACTGATATGCTACGCGTTTAAGTGATCATGTCAAATCTGATGTTACAATTAAAGGAAATTCTTGTACGTAGGCTGCTGAAAAGCTTAGAATTACTGCCAAGGAGCTGGTCAAGCTTGATGTAGCTGATGGAATCATACCTGTAACTGATCCTACCTCTGATCTATTTTTTTTAGCCTCTTACATCTCTTTTGTCGCTTTGGATCAGTGAGTTACTCTCTTACATGTTGTACAGGAACCGCTTGGTGGCGCCCATGCTGATCCTTCATGGACGTCACAGCAGATAAAGATTGCTATCAATGAAAACATGAATGTACGCATAGTTATTTGCCTCAATGCAGAACGTGGATCAAAAAAGTTTCTAATCGTGTGTCGGGTTTTTGTAGGAATTCGGGAAAATGAATGGGGAGGAGCTTCTGAAGCACAGGATGGCTAAGTACCGAAAGATTGGACAGTTCATAGAGGGTGAACCAATAGAGCCGATGAGGAAAGCCAACATGAAGAAGAGGGAAACGGTGGTATCCAATAACCGAGAGCTGGAGGGCGAGGTTGAGAAGCTAAAGGAGCAGATTCTGAAAGCCAAAGAGACGTCTTCAGAGGACGAGCCTTCGAGTAAAGTTCTTAATGAGATGATTGAGAAACTCAAGTCCGAGATCGATGATGAGTACACTGAAGCTGCTAGAGCAATGGGTTTGGAGGAGAGACTAACGGCAATGCGTGAAGAATTCTCAAAAGCGAGTTCAGAAGAGCATCTTATGCACCCGGTTCTGATTGAGAAAATTGAGAAGCTCAAGGAAGAGTTCAATGCCCGTTTGAGTGACGCGCCTAATTACGAGAGCCTAAAATCAAAGATGAACATGCTGAGGGACTTTTCCAGAGCCAAGGCAGCATCAGAAGCTGCCTCGTTGAAAAAGGAGATCAATAAGAGGTTTCAGGAAGCCGTGGACCGCCCTGAAATTAGAGAAAAGGTTGAGGCAATCAAAGCCGAGGTCGCAAGCTCTGGGGCTTCATCTTTTGAAGAGTTAAGTGATGAACTGAAAGAAAAAGTTTTGAAGACAAAAGGGGAGGTTGAAGAAGAGATGGCGGGTGTGATAAAGTCAATGGGTCTTGAGCTGGAGGCTGTGAAACCGAATCTGAAAGATGTGGCTGAGCAGACTTTGGTCCCGAACGAAAACCTTCAAGAAAAACTTGAAAAGTTGAACCAAGAAATCACCGAGAAGATTGATGAAGTGGTGAGGACACCGGAGATCAAGAGCATGGTAGAGTTGCTGAAAGTGGAGACCGCAAAGGCGAGCAAGACGCCAGAAGACACCGATGCGAGTCAGAAGATCGAGGCGCTTGAGCAGCAGATCAAGCAGAAGATATCAGAGGCTCTGAGCATGTCAGGACTGCAGGAAAAGCAAGAGGAGATCGAGAAGGAGATTGCAGCTGCACGTGAAGTAGCTGCAGAGGAGAGTGTGAAG